TTATGGATCCAATTCCAGAAATGGAGAAGGTGCTCAACATGACCTTGAAAGTTGAGAGGAAAATCAAAAGTTCTATCAGTCAAAAATGCAGTGATCTAATCCAGTCCAATGCAGTTTACAATGACCAGACTCAAACTAGAGAGGAACATTCATTGGTGGCAGTTGCAGCATCTAACAATAGAAGAAGTTCACAGGCAATGGAGGGAAAAATGTTCCAAAATGTACCTTCTGTGGTATGCTTAGACATACAATAGAAAAATGCTACAAGAAGCATGGCTATCCTCCGGGATGGGTTGCAGGATATAAGTCCAAAAATAAATAGCCTCAAGATGCACAGCAGCCATCAAGTGCAGCTATAAACCAAGTATGGGGTGTGTTTTGAGTGTAAGATTGTGGAGAGTAGGCTTGGGATGGGTAAGATTCATAGGATTGAGAATTAGTGGATCCTCTTTGCGGGAGGTAGTCATAATCCTCATCATACGGCTTATCATCATATGTCCTTGGTGGTGGCCTTCTTGGTTGATATTGTTCTTTTGAAACTCCATATGTTCTTGGAAATGGTTGTTTCCAATTCCTACATCTTCCATAGCCATAGGGGTCAAAATATTGAGCATTATAGCATCCCCTTGGTTGCCTATATCCTCCTTGGTCCTCATAGTAATCCTCTTGTAGATATCTTGCTTGAGAATACACCATAGAGGATCAACCTACAATCACAAAGACAAGAGAAAAATTTTGCAACTAAAAGCAGTTGCGTGAGAGTAGTTTCGAATTCATTTCAAGGAACAAAAGTTCACAAGTAAACAAAGTAAATTGTAAAAACAAAAAAGTAAATAGGAGTTAGACTCTCTAACTTTAATGCTATCTCATGTTAACCCACATGGACTCACTACTCAAAACCGATGCCATTCCCCGAGAACGGCGCCATTTGAAAGTTGGTTTTAGTGGTGATGTTTTAGTGAGTGTCGTCCTCTAGGAATGGCTATAAGGGAATTGAGTAGAGGGGGGTTAAACAAAAGATCATTAAGTGTTTGAAAGCTAACCAAAATGGAATATTTGTTTGCATAGAGAATAAAACAAATAAATGATTAAGTAATAGACAATGATAAAAGAGAGGACTTGGATAAAATAGCAATGTACGGATGTTTATTAGTGTTCTAAGATTCTAGGCTAAACAATGTTGAACAACGAATGCAAGGAATTTAAGTCAATACCGATGCCACTCTCGTGGACATTGGACTCTCACCAAGGTTATAATCCCATTCTCATAGCAATTAGACTAGGTGAGGCAATTAATCAAACATCTTGTGTGCTCATTTCCTTCCAACTCCCCTTTCTCAAGAGTAAGTTAGAAATGTGATAAGTTTGGCTATGGTGAATCCCTATTCTCATAGGTGAAGCACCAAATCCAACGACCTCTTGCATAGGAGGGCCCTAACCAAACAAGAGGCAAAACCTAGATTTGGCAATTCAATTTATGTTGGCATTCATACAAAACAATGCAATCTAAATCCCTAATTAGTTTTACTACTCATAATGGAATTGATAAACTAGAAGCAATTCAAATAATATGCAATGAATTTGACTTCAAAAGTAATTTGTAAAGTACAAAAATAAGAAATAGATAGAAATCCTTACTTTATTGAATTTGTAGAATGTAAATCTGAAATTGAAAGTAAAAGTTGCAATTACATACGGAAATCTCCCTCTAAATATTCTCCAAAAGATAATGGAATACAATGGATTTTTTGTTCTAAAGGGTTTGGATGGAGAGAAGGTGTAGAGGGAGATTGGAAATTGAAAGATAGTCTAAAAATAACGCCTAAAGACTCTTTATACTTTTGGAATCGCTCCCTTTTAACTGCTTCAAGAATGCCTGGTCACGATGGTGGTCACACCATCGTGACTAGGCCTAAGCCTCGCAGGTCTCTGCTGGTCACGGTGTGACGTCGACCGTGACCACTCACTTTGCACAATATCTCTGATTTCTAGGCCACTTTTCACATTGTAAACGTCCTAACTAGCCTTTGTAGTTTGCATGAAAGTTGTAGCTCTTTGAGTTTCCGTTCTAATGACACTTGAATCACGTTATTTGGACACTCCTAGCTGGAGATATGCTCAAATTACCGAGACTTCGCCTGACAGAAAAAAGTACAAAGCAAAATGGTGTCACGCTGGCAATCACGGTGTGACCACCAGCGTGACCCATGGTTTTCACTTCAAAATTCAAATTTCTTCATCTCCTTTGTTCCTTTGGGTCCCCGGGTCATATCATGATACTTCCACTCACTTTATTTCATTTTCTTGACCTCTAATGACTCCCGGAACTTGCCTTTCTGTCAAGATGACTTCAAAACACAACCAATTGAGCTCCAATTTACATGAAGTTACAACCAATGCCTCCAAATAACCTAAATGAAACAAAGGAATCAAATAGTCACATACTCATCTTCCAATTAACATGAAATCATATGAGTTTGATATCAATTATGCACATAAAAGTGCTAAGAATTAGCACTTATCAGTGATATAGGTATATCTGCTGATCAGTTTCAAAAGCTTCTTTCTCTTTTGTAGAATCAAAATAAGGGGAGTTAATCCTCTAGTAATGCTGCTGTGACGGTCACTGGTCCAGAAATTAAGCCAAGTTTCAAAAACCCTATGGAGGCTCCTAGTGAAGGTAGATCCACTTCTAATCCTTCTATTAATGTAGTGCTGAATTCAGATGATTTTTGGATAGTGGACTCAGGGACTACAGACCACATTACCTACTCATTAGAATATTTTGATGCTTATGAAAAGATCCAGGGAATATCTGTTAAGTTGTCAAATGGGGAAATTATGAATGTTACTCACATTGGACAAATTAGGCTTAACAAAAACATTCTGTTGACAAATGTGTTGTACATCCCATCTTTTACCTTCAACATTATCTCTGCAAGTAAATTGACTAAGCAATCATGCTGTAAATTGGTTTTAGAAGCTGATTCTTGTGCTGTCCAAGTATATCTTGGAACAATGGATGGTTTTGCTAAGCAAACAGATGGGCTATACTTGGTCAGTGATCCTCCTGTTAAGAAGAAAATTCATTTTCTTGATAAAACCTTGGCTAATTTTGTTGAATTTCAGTGTAATGCTTTGTCTCTAGAAACATGGCATAACAGATTGGGACATTATCCCATCAATAAGATTTCTGTTCTGAATGGAATAAAACATACTCTTTCTCATAAATGCAATGACTTTGTGTGTGATGCCTGCCATTTTGCTAAACACAAGAGATCTCCTTTTGCAACTAGTATATCTAGATCTGAACACTGTTTTGATCTAATTCACATGGATGTCTGGGGTCCTTTTGCTGTGGCATCTCTCAAAAGGGAACATTATTTTTTAACTATTGTTGATGACCATAGCATGTTTACTTGGTTGCATATGATGACAAGTAAATCAGAGGTTAGGACTATATTTCAAGACTTTTAGAGTTATGTTTGCACTCAGTTTTCAGCAAAAATTAAGACAATAAGAACTGATAATGGTACTGAATTCTTGATGAGAACTTTCCTTAATGAGAAAGGCATAGTTCATCAAAGATCTTGTGTGTATACTCCCCACAGAATGGGGTAGTAGAAACTAGGAAACACCAACATATCTTAAATGTAACTAGGTTCTTGAGTTTTCAGTTAGGTTTGCCTATGAATTTTTGGGGTCATTGTGTGTTGCATGCATCCTATCTCATTAACAGGTTAACTACTGATGTTGTTAATGGAAAGACTCCTTTTGAAATCTTAACTAAAAGAAATGTGGACTATAGGCAACTTAGGACTTTTGGTTGCTTGTGTTTTGGTGCCACTACTCCACAACGTAGAAACAAGATGCAATCAAGGGCAAGAAAGTGTGTTTTTCTAGGATATCCAGCTAATGTGAAGGGATATATCCTATATGATTTTCGCAACAAAGCTGTTTTTGTTTCAAGAGATGTTAGATTCTATGAACAAATCTTCCCCTTCAGAGATCAGAGTTCAGTAACCACACCTGAACTTACAGCAAGTGAAATACTTAGTCGCTCACTTCCTTTGGTTCCTATCTCCATTGAAGATGAATTCAATAATGGGCCTGAAATTGAGAGTTGTTATGACAAAAACAGTGAACAAAATGATGTTTTGATCAATGAAGAAGCTGACCACAGTGATGGTATTGCAAATGTTGACAGTAATAAAGCAATGGGTACTTCTGATGAGATAAATATTGTGCACAATGAGGAATCAGACACTGAAACACTTGGTCATGTAGTCATTGATTATAATGATTTAGTCCACACTCTTGATGAGGCAGTTAATGATCAGTATCAAGCACAACCTAGAAGGTCAACAAGGCCTAAAAATATTCCTTCTAAACTACATGACTATTATTGTCAGTTTATGATAGGACATACAGTTGATCTGAGAACTTCTCCTCACCCCATAGAGAATTATATTTCCTATGACAGATTATCTCCTAACCACAAGTTTTGTGTTTCTTCTATTACATTTGCACATGAGCCACAATCCTACCATGAAGCAGTACAAAATGAGGCATGGAGCAAGGCCGTGCAATCTGAAATAGAGGCCTTAATTCAGAATGAAACTTGGATTCTTACAGAACTGCCTACTGGAAAATCACCAATTGGATGTAGGTGGGTATACAAAGTGAAACACAGATCAGATGGATCCATAGAAAGGTATAAGGCAAGATTGGTTGCCAAAGGTTACACTCAACAACTAGGAGTGGATTATATTGACACCTTCTCTCCTGTGGCTAGGATGGCTACTATCAAGACCTTTTCTAGCTCTAGCAGTGGCCAAGGGCTGGGATATTTAACAGCTTGATATCAATAATTCTTTCTTGCATGGTGATCTTAATGAGGAAGTTTATATGGTGTTACCTCCAGGCTTTGAGAGTGACAAATCTAACCAAGTCTGCAAACTAAAAAGGTCTTTGTATGGTTTGAAGCAGGCTAGTAGACA